TTCTATATTTTTGTGTTAGTTTGAAATCATTCCTAATTCTAAAAATTAGAGGCTAGGTAACTGGGAACGTGTTCTTCCTTGTTTTCTTCATTAGTCCCGTGTTCTTGACCCTTTCTTTAAGGAGCCTGGTCGCACAACTTCACCAAGACTTACCGCTAACTTAGAAGCATTAGTATAGTCTTCCAAATTTGGCATTAGAATCTTGCATTACTCTATATAGCCTTTAACCCTCTTGCCTCCTTTTTTAATGTAGCAAGCATCTATCTAACCTAATTTGAGTTCGCTTTTGCCCGACTTACTGTTCTTCTCTTTCACATGATTGGACTAGAGTGCAGTTTTTTTTTTAAGTCAATCACATGTGGCTTTGCATTACTGTAGGCTCTTGCTTTCTAACTTCTAAATGCTTCATTCCTCTCTCCCTAAAAGATGCAGAATTTTAGAATGAGTATGGTGAGCTTGCATGGTTCAGGAGAATCAGGTTACACCTTTCCCAACTCCATGCTCACTGGCATTGCATTGCTTGAAATGAGCCAAACTAGGAGGATTCACACTATGGAAATTGGCAAATGCCAACCATCAACTTGTTTCATCTCTTCTCCCACGAATTAGTTGGTGATTAAAAGTTACTAGCTTACCCCTGGTTGGGGGAGCGGGGCAAGGAGCCATGATAGTTTTCTGAGTTGTTCTGAACAAGAAACCTTTTCCTCATTTTACACTGGTAGAAACTGAACAGAAAAGAAATCTGGCCATGTCCCTGGACTACAAAACAACCTTGTGAGGCTCAGGTGTGAGTAGAGTATCAGAAGGAGCCAGTGCTCCTTTGGATGAGGCAGATAATAAGTTTTGGTCTAGTCTAGATGTTGTTGGCTGTGAATTAGACAAGTATCTAAGCCCCTCAGTGTCCCCACTCATAAAACGAGATGACAAAATCTATCTTGTAAAGATCTTGGGAGCATTAAAGAAAACAATATGTGTAAAAACAAACCAAAAAACACAAAAGAAACGAAGACGTGCAATAGATGTCATTCACCATCTGACTTATAAATTCAGCTCTTTGTATACTCTCCAATTTTTTCCCACGGCCATCATACATTTTATTTCAACTCTGTCTGACCAAACACCCCTCTTCTCAATGGTAAATATACTTCTTTTCTAATTACATGCCACTGGAATAATGAAAAGTCTTATTAGAGTCTATGTTTATGTTTCATATGGGAGAATCAGTTTCATACCTAGAATCTTAGAAGTGTATGTACTAGATAGCAACTACCATCATTTTTCTTCTACCTGGGAGTTTCCTCCGGTGACCATTCTGCTGAGCTAAGCAACTGAGCAAGACTGATGGGGACCCACGGGTGTTGCTCTCCCATATATCACCTGACAGCAGCAGCCTGTAGGAAAACACCCTTCCTCTTCCTGTTCTGAGCTTCGGACCTTCCCTGCACCCTGTGACTGACCTGCTTCTAAGTTGTTCAGCTAATCCAAAGTATAATTCCCTTTTACAATTGTCAATTGAACTGAGCAAGATATTTAGTTATTTTAACATATTTAATAAATGGTCCACAGATTTGGAGTGTTTCTAGACAAGCTACCACATACATACACCTCACACATGCGCGCACACACCCGTACTTACCTCTTTCAATTTTATAGTTTTTTATATCAATGCATAAAGCTGTATAACTCCAGACACAAGTTTACCATTGTAGATGCATTGCTTTGGTTTCTCTCATTTGTCAAATAAAGGCACTGAAATAGAAGGCTAATAAAAAATAAAATAAAAAGTGTATAACAGGCCATCAGTGGCTTACACCTGTAATCCTAGCTACTCAGGAGACTGAGATCTCAGGATTGCAGCTTAAATCTACATAGGGCAAGAAAGTGTGAGATTCTTATCTTGGGGTTCATTTCACCTAACATCAACTTATCTGACCTTTTCTGCTTGTCTCAGACATATACTGGTTATTGCAAATAAGGGAAACCATGGAACCTATGTTTCTTTGGGCCTGGCCTACTTCACTTCATATAATTTTTTCCAAAGTCTTTCCATTTCCTAACAAATGGGGAAATGTCATTCTTTCTGATGGAGGCATAGAATTCCATTGTGTATATATACCATATTTTCTTGATCCATTCATCTACTGAAGGGCATCTGGGTTGGTTCCATATCTTAGCTATGGTGAATAATGCTATGATAAACATAGTTGTGCTGGTAGCTTTAGTATGGTCTTGTTTGTGATCATTTGGGTAAATGCCCAAAAGTGGGATTGCTGGGTCATAGAGGAGCTCTATGTGGAGTCTTTTGAGGAACCTCGATATTACTTTCCAAAGTGGTTGAACAAGTTTACACTCCCACCAACAATGCAGTAAGATTCCCTTCTGTCCACATCCCCTCCAGCATCTGTTGTTATTAGAGTTCTTGATTATAGCCATTCTAACTGGGGTGAGGTGGTATCTCAATGCTGTTTTTATTTGCATTTTTTTATGGCTAGAGAGGTTGAGCATTTCTTCATGTGTCTATTGGCCATCCTTCTTTCCTCTTCAGAGAAGTTTCTCTGTAAGTCTTTAGCCCACTTATTTATTGGGAAGTTGTTTCTTTGAGAATTTGTTGTTGGGGAATTTAATTTTTTGAGTTCCAGGTATATTTTAGATATAAGACTCTTGTCCGTTGTATGGCTAGTGAAGATCTTCTCCCAATCCGTGGGCTTTCTATTGATCTTGCTAGCTATGTCCTTTGCCATGCAGAAGCTCTGCAATTTCATGCAATCCCATTTGTCCAACCTTTCTTTGATTTGTTGTGTTTCTGGGTCTCTATTAAGAAAATTTCGGCCTGTGCCAGCAAGACCTAGAGTTTCTCCTATTCCATCCTGTAATGTTTTCAGTGTGTCTGCTTTGACTCCAACGTCTTTGATCCATTTGGTGTTGAGTCTGGTGCAGGGTGATATATAAGGATCTAGCTTTAGTTTTCTACAAGTAGTTAACCAATTTTGCCAGCACCATTTACTGAAGAGGCTGTCTTTCTTCCATTCTATTTTTTTAGCTCCCTTACCGAAGATTAGATGGCTATAGGTCTGTAGGTTCATTTCTGGGTTCTCAGTTCTATTCCATTGGTCCTGAGGTCTGTTCTTATGCCAGTACCAAGCTGTTTTGATTACTATGGTGGTGTAGTAGAGTTTTGAGATTTGGTATTGTTATTCCTCTAGCACTGTTCTTTCTGTTAAGAATCATTTTTGCTATTCGGGGTCTTTTATTGTTCCATATGAATTTTTTGGATTGTTTTTTCTTTCATGCAATTGTTTCTAACATATTTATAAGATGATTTCTTTGTTGATTTGTATGTCCCTCCCCCACGGTATAACCCCTGCTTTCACTGTATTTGATGTTGGTATAATTTGTGGAGGGGAAGGGGAAAAATCGTTTAAATAGGGATACAAGTGGACCCATTGCAACAATGAGATGTACAAGTCATTATGTCGAAAACGAACTTTACAACTTTGGCCGGGGGTGGGGGAGTGGAGGGAGGGGGAAGATAGGAAGGGGAAACAAAGGAGGAGGCAACAATGCTTGATAAGAAATGTACTCATTATCTTGCCCATGTAATTGTAACCCCTCTATAAGGTATTTTCACAATAAAAAAAAATAAAAAACATTAAAAAAATAGAAAGTGTGAGATTCTTATCTCCAGTTAAACACCAAAAGACCTGGAAGTGGAGCTTTGACTTAAGTGGTAGAATACTAGATAAGCCCCCCCCCAAAAAAAAGCACACAGACAGCACTTAGGTCCTTAGTTTAAGCCCAAGGATGGCACCTTGTGCCCCCCTCCAAAAGGCTGAGGTATTAGGACCAAAGTTTAAAACCAGCCTGAGCCAGAAAGTCCATAAGACCCTTATCTCCAGTTAACCACCAAAAAGCCAGCAGTAGAGCTGCAGCCAAGTAGTGAAACACCAGCCTTGAAAAGGAAAAGGAAAAACCTAAGGAACAGCACTTAAGCCTTGAGTTGAACAAGCTCCAGTTCCCACACACACACATTTACAGTCAGGTGTACACCATTCACGAAGGTCCACAAGGGGAGAAAACAGAAAAGGAAATTAACAGGAGGACCGAAGAAGCTCTTACTACTAGCTTTGGTGGCAACTCAAAGGCTTGGAGCTCATGTCAATAAGCAATGGCCTTCCCTCTCAGAGGCACAAGTAGACTGAGATGCATAATGATTATCCATAAGCCAAAGAAACCTCTTCCAAAGTCAGGAACTTGGGGCAGGCCCATATGACCGGCCAGTAGCTAACAAGACAGGCTCGGCGTACAGTCACAGAGAAGATGCTGTTCCTCTGTGTAAAGATAAGCGGTATATATTGTACAGATTCCAGGTTCCAGCTAAACTAAGGATCATGACTTTGGGGGAAAAATACAGGCGAGAACCTAATCCTTGTGGGAAACGTGCTTGTCTCCGGTGCACAGTGAGGTGGCTTGTGGACACTGATGGTGTGGGGAGATGATAAAACGCATTTAGCATAAACTTCCATTTTAACTCTGCTGGACACTGATGGTGTGGGGAGATGATAGAATGCATTTAGCATAAACTTCCATTTCAACTCTGCTTACATTGGAGCCCAGTGGCAGTAATTAGACTTACACGTGGTGCAGCCCTCCCTACCATGCATGCCTAGACCTTCCCAGGCAGTTTTGCCCATCTCACCTAATCCTTGCAACAGCCCTTGGGTCTGTGCTCCTTTCCCATCCCAAGGCCACAGTGTTTTAGAGATGTAGTTTAGTCTCATACCAAACACCTGTTGGAGCCTGGGGTTGACATCTTCCCCTCCAGATGCATATCCCTCATGGTGAAGCCACAGTGGCTGAGATTTTTGGCAAGGGGGCAAATGTCTCAGTGATTCTCCATCCTCTGTGCACACAGTCCTGAGAGGCCATGGCAGGGATGCCAGGGGCTCCCTGCCTCCACCTCACTGTTGGTTTTTGTTCCTCTGTGCTGTGCTGCTGTCCAGGTGTGATTCTCCTGCTTCTGGATAAGCTTCGGAAGATGAAATGGGAACAGATGTGGAGGCTGACGGCAGAGAGGGAGCTCATGGGCATGCTGTCTACATCCTTGGCTGACCAGGTGAGTGCCCAGGAGGGAGGAACTCAGATCCAAGTGCCCTTGAGTTAGTACATAGTGAATTGTTACTGCGTCCCATACCTGATGTAGGAAAGTACTGTGGGATTGTTGAGGGTTTGGGTTTTTTGTTGTAAGATGGGGGTCTCGCCATATAGCCCAGGCAGGCGGCAAGCTTGAAATCCCCCTGCCTGAATATCCTGAGAGAGCTGGGATTATACACATGCATCACCATTGCTGGCCAGAAACACTTGTCTTGAAAGTTTCAAGCCATGATCTGTTGGCCCTGTTGTTTGGGGGTCTGTCATAAGGCAAAACATGTCATAAATGAACCAAACTGTTTATCTCATGACAGGAAACAGAATTTGAGAGGAGCAAGAATAGACTGGAGTCTCATAATCCCTTTCAAGGGTGTATCCCTAATGACTTAAAGACCCTCCACGAGGCCCAATCCCTTAAAAGTTTCACTACCTAAGGGCCAGACATGGTGGTACATTTGTGTAATCCCAGCTACACAGAAGTCATAGGCAGTAGGATTGTGAGCTAAGGGCGGCCCCAGACAAAAGAAGACCCTATCCAAAAAAAAAGGCAAAAAGGTAAAGAAGGACTCAAGATATGGCTTAAGTAGTGGAGTGCCCATACAGCAAAAATGGGGCTCTGGGTTGAAACTCAGATAATAGGGACCAAGGAAGGACCTGGGCCTAAAACTATTAACATATCTGCCTGTGGGGGTATTCTAGACCCTCACCACAACAAATGGTAGCTTCCCAAGAAATCAACAAGAAGCCGGATCTGAATGCTTTCCTACCTGTTTTTTGACTCTGTGGACTGAGATAGATTGCCCCATTCTTACCAGGCTAAAACAGCAGACACAATAGTCCTTCAGTCCAATCACTTTCTCATTCAACAGATGATCACTAAGCCCTGTGTCTAACAAGGTTAAGCAGAGGAAGGATGGCAGAGCCAGCCATGACAGAAGAGTAGCGTAGTCCTGAGCCTCAGAGAACACATAGTGTGTTGAAACAGAATCCTAAGTAAATGGCAGGCTGCTGTGTTAGAAGGCCACCATTTTCACTGGCTGCCATCTTCCTGTGAAATGACATCAGTGTAGGATGACCCAGACTCCACCTTCCCACAATGCCCCAAGGCAAGATTTCCATGGCCTCTGTGACCAACATAGTCTAACATTTGAAGCTAAGCTTGTTAATTTGATCTCATCATAGTGTTCCTGAACTTGGGGATTTAATACAAGAGTAAACTCCTTAGATCCATAAACCACCCATTTTTTAATCAACAGTCTGAAAAAGTTATTGAATCACACCAAACTCTTAATAAATACCAGTTAAAGAAACCAGTCTCTTCCTCCTCCTCCTCCACTTCCTTCTTTTTTTGACAGAACTGCTGTATGTACTCAGCAAGCTTGTGCTTGCTGAGCTGGTGTTCTACCACTTGAGCCATGCCTCCAGCCCTGCTTTTAGCTGGGTTGGGTTTTGGGGGGGAAGTGGAGATGACGTCTCAGGGACTTTTCTACCTGGGCTAGCTTTGAACTACAATCCTTCTTTTCTTCCTATACTTTCTTTGAACTACAATCCTCCATAGCTCCCAAGTTACCAGAATTACAAGTGTGAGCTATCAGTACCCAGCTCCATTTCTCCTTTTGACTAGGAAAGGGAAGGGCTCCCATCTTTGATCTTGGATCTCCCATGGTAACTGACTTAGATTTCCATCTTGCTGTGGTATCAGCTACCATGTTGAGAGACAAAAATGATTTCTCTGGATTTTCACCTAAAGAGAATTCACTATCCACATTTTTTTTCAACTGCCCGCTTTTGTCACATTCCTACGAAGTTTTCTAATACAACGGAAACAAGAAACTCCTCAGGATTACTTCACTATTTTAGGCATTATCTGTTCACTATTTCCCAAGGAATCCAAAACTGATTTCCTCACCGCACTCTGAATGTGGTGCATCATGAATGTTGGGAAAACTTACTCAGGTGCTTTCTCAAACCTGAGGGGGAAAAGATTCCTACCTTCCACCCTATTTTGAGTCAGGTCACAATGGCTTCAGTGTATCTGCCAAAGCTAGCAACTGGGTGTCCATGTCCAGAGAGGCTAGTTTGTTCAACCACCTGCTGCCATGCCGGCCTATAATTTACCTCCTGGCACTCTTCTGTTATCAGAACTTGATAAGTGTGACCCTATTTAAGGGCATAGAAAGAGCCCAAAAGAGTTTACAAACCTCCCTCAGACAAGGCAGGTCTCGAGTTCAAAGCAGGGGCTGTATACTCTAAACACTGACACCTGCAGGGATCTACACAGCATCCATCACCAAACCACCAAAACCCAGGGAAGAGCTGCTAAGAGGAGCTGTCTGTCATTTGTGTCTTCCCTCTGGATGGGTTGAGCCACTTGTCATGATGCAGTTTCCTCTCCAGGAGACTCAGGATGGATAATACAGGGCTCCCTGCTAGGACCGGATGAGGGAAAGGAAAGAGACTTCATTTATTATATGCTGGCAAGCACAGGAATGTTACTCCTTGCCCTCTGGGTAATGTTTTATGAGACCAGTAGAACTCAGGAGCAACCAGGGTCATTCCCCACCTCTGCCCAGCCATTATCACTGGGTTTCTAGAGACAAGAGGCGAGAGAAATGCCCACAGTGTGAGCTAGCCTGTGTGCAGAATAGGATACTGAAGAGATGCCCTCCCCCAGGGGATACGATGTCTTGAGAGCCAAAACTCTAAGCTGCACCCATCGGCTGCCTTGACTGTGTCTGCCTTTTGTTCCTCAGGATATCTTCAATGCTGTCATCAAGCAAAACCCCTTTCTGGTGTATCAGCTTCCCTGCTTCTGGAACGTGCAGCTGTCGGACCATACTCGCTCCGAGCAGTGCTACAGAGACGTGTCTGATCTGAAGGTGGGTCAAGACAGTCTTCAGAAGTGGAACAAGGGCCCCACTGTGGGCAGAGGAAAGCCAGGCCTGGGGAGAGGGGAGGCCTTGTAAGGGCATGTGTGATGGCTGTAAGCTTATGCAAAGTATAGTAAAAAAAAAAAAAATGTGTGTGTGTGTGTGTGTGTGTGTGTATGTATGACACAAGGGAGCAGAAAGAATGTGCTGTGCTTCTCTGTTGGATGTTTTGAGAATAGGGGAGTATTGTGCCCTTGTTTGGCCTTCTAGAATATGTAGAACCCCCAGGGGTAAGAACTAGCTTGTGTGGTTATTCTTCTTGCCATCTGCTGCCTGCTCTACTGGTTCATCTCTGTTCCCCACATCCATTCATTTAACTCAGACTAAGCACAGGTACTGTACAGACAAATGTGGATAACTTCTTACCTCACTTACTTCATGGCCTAAGGAGAAGAGAAACACGTAAGGAAAGAGGTATAATGAAATACAATAGGTGTTTCATTAGGTATAGGGAAGTCCATGTGGGGAACACATACATGTCTCATTTTTCTTCCCTCAGAAGGGACAATGACAGATTGAAACCCTTCTTCATGACTTGCTGGGTACCAAGCCCAGTGGTGGGACCTTGGTGGGAGAGAGATGGAGAAGGGCAGGATGTATCTGTTATCTACTATTATAGATAGTGCTGTGTAACAAACTATTCTAAACTGGCTCAGCTAAAACCACTTATTCCACTGATGAGTTTACACTCAGGCTGGATGGTGTCTGATTCCCCCTGGATTAACCAAGTATCTGTGGTCGGCTTCAGCTCTGATGGTTTTGGTCAGGGACAGCTCAGCTATCCTGCAGTGTCTCCTCCATGTTCTCTGTGTCTCCTGGGCTGACATGTTCTCCTAGCAAGGTGGAGGTAAAGATGAAGTCTTAGGGCACAGAATGAAACCTCAGTCACTGTTGTTAAGGACCCACTGGCTAAGATAGCCAACAGGGCTCTACCCAGAGTGAAGAGCCATGCACCAGTGGCTCAGGCCTGTAATCCTAGCTACTCAGGAGGCTGAGATCTGAGGATTGTGGTTCAAAGCAGCCCAGGCAGGAAAGTCTGTGAGACTCTTATCTCCAGTAAACCACTCAGAAAACTGGAAGTGGCACAGTGGCTCAAATGGTAGAGTGCTTGCCTTGAACTGAAGAGCTGAGGGTCTGCATTCAGGCCCAGAGTTCAAGCCCCATGACCAACAACAAAAGAAGAAGAAGAAGGAGAAAGAGAAAAAGAAGAAGAAGAAGAAGAAGGAAGAAAGAGGAGGAGGAGGAGGAAGAGGAGGAAGAGATCAGAAACTCTTAGTTACAGGGGCAGTGGAAGAACTGGCAACAATCAGGCAAAATTTTACACACAGTTATGTTCAACATCAAGTACACTCTCCTCTCTGGTTGTAGCAGAGGAAAATTAGAGACATGCATGACTACAGTCTATTTCCTTTAAAAAGTTGTCTGTGTACACAAGAGAAGCAACATTTGTAAGCTATAAAAAATAAACAGATCTTAGAGGTGTAGCTTAGGGACGAAGCAAGGAAGAGTGTGAACCCCAAATTCAATTGCGCATGCACACACACACACACACACACACACACACACACACACACACACACACACACACACACACACACACACACAAGCATAGTCTATCTTCCTTAAGATAAATAAGACAGCAAAGGCCAGAAACTGTTGGTTGAGTGTGAGTTCCCAAGGGAAGCAGGGAGCAGCTGGATGAGGTATTGAGTGGTCTGCTGATCCCTGGTGGCCCAGAGTATGGTTTAAAGGTTGGTGTGGTGTTACAGGAAATGTAGTGAGGCCTTGACTCTGGTTCCTGGCACAGTCACTTGAAAGAAAAATGCAAGGAAATGAGGAGAAAATAAAAGCACAGACATAGAAACCATGGAGGAAATGGGGAGCAAGAAATCAACATGAAAGATCAACTATATCAATAATCAAATAAAGGTAAACTGATATTGATGATAAAAAAGACAGATTTTCAAATAAAGAAAAAAAAGAAAATTGTATCAAGCATTTACAAAAGACAGATATGACTGATAATAACCAGAAAAGGTTGAAATAAATTATGGAAGAGCTAGATCCCAGTGGCTCATGCCTGTAATCTTAGCTACTCAGGATGATGAGATCTGAGGATCCACCATTCAAAGCCAGGCCAGGCAAAGAAATCTGTGAAATTCTTATTTCCAATTAACCAGTAAAAAGTTGGAAGTAGAGCTGTAGCTCAAGTAGTAGAGTACCAGCCTTGAGCCAAAAAACTAAGGGGTTTGAGTTCAAGCCCCCTGTCCTAGCACACACAAAAAATATATGAGAGCCAAGCGCTATTATCCTAGGTATTCAGGAGCCTGTGATCTGAGGATCATGGTTCAAAGCCAGCCCAGGCAAAGAAAGTCCTTGAGACTCTTATCTCTCTTAGCCACCAGAAAACTGGAAGTGGCGCTGTGGTTCAAGTGAACCTTGAGCTGAAGAGCTGAGGGACAGGGCCCAGGCCCAGAGTTCAAGCCCCACAACCAAAAAATAAAAAAATAAATAATGAGAAGCAATTATCAAGGAAATGTCCAAAAGAAAACTGACTACAGTAATATCAAACAGATCATTATGAGGAAGGAAGATGGCCACAACTTGAAAATGAGATTACCTTGTATATATCTTCTGCACATGTATCTTTATGTATATGTAGGAGAGTATGAATATAGGTGCATTCATATATCTTTAATACTTACGTATATCCACATACTTACAGCCCATTGGAATTGCAGAGAAAGAAATGGGTGAGTATAACAATCATAGTGGAATGTTTTTTCTAACATATGCTCTTCAGATACTAAAGGATCAAATAGTCAAATTGATTTCAAAATGTGGAAGATTTGAATTGCATAAATAGCACACTTGGCTTATTGGGCAAATAAAGAGTCTAGTTCTTTTTAGAGACTATGTATCTCTCTCAAACTCATACAGAACATTTATAAAACATTAACCATGTACTAGCCCAAAAAGCAAACCTCAATACATATTCAAGAATAGTATTTCACTTTAATGCTCTGAATAAAGTACAATTAACTAGAAGCCTGTTATAATAATTTTTAAAACCTATTTCATTAAAATTGAAAACTCACTTTTAATTTCCTCATGGTTGTAAGTAGAAATCATAATGAAACTGAAAACTGCTTAGAGACAAAATGAGAACGAAAGTAATACATGTCAAAATTACTAGAACAAATAAACATGGAGGGAAATACATAACACTAAGTGAACTAAGAAGAAAAGATGCTGAAAAAAATCAACATGTACTACTTAGGATGATACTGAATGAACATTAGAATAAATTCAAAGGAAAGAAAAGGCAGGCCATAAAGTAAGAGCAGGAACTGATGAACAAATTACTCAATATAATTAAAAGTTCTTGGAAAGAAACCAATACAATAGACAAAGCTATGGCAGAATTCATAAAGAAAAAGAAAACGCACCAAGAAATGAACAGAGTAGCAGTAATTCATTGATTCATTCTCCAAAATTTTTTGGTGTCTGTAAATACTAGAACGTGAAATCAGGGACTAGGAACTGACCCTTAGCTTTTTACGCTCAACGCTAATGCTCTACCACCTGAACCACAGCTCCACTTTTGGCTTTTTAATGGTTAATTGGAAATAAAAGTTTTACAGTCTTTCCTGCCCAGGCTGACTTTGAACTACAACCCTCAGATCTTAGCCTTCTGAATAGCTAACATGACAGGCATGACCTACTGGCACCTAACTCTCTAAAATATTCTTTTTTGGGGGGAGTCCAGTCGTGGGGTGTGAACTCTGGGCCTGAGCACTGTCCCTCAGCTCTTCAGCTCAAGGCTAGCGCTCTACCACTTGAGCCATAGCACCATTTCCGGCTTTTTTTTTTCTGCTTATGTGGTGCTGAGGAATTGAACCCAGGGCCTCATGCATGCAAGGCAAGCGCTTTACCACTGAGCCACCTTCTCAGCCCCCTCTAAAATATTCTTGAGCAAGTAATTTTCCTGGGATCTGGGTATACTAGAAAGACTAAAGTGACTAATCTTTCAGTCCATGGAACTTTCAACCAATAGATAAAGCAGAATTTTAGAAAAGACTGAGATACTGTGAACATATGTCAATGAATCTGAAAACTTATGCAAAATGGACACATTCTTAGAAATGTATAATTTACCAAAAGGAATTTAAGGAAAAAAACTATGGATCTGAATTGTCTTCTAGCCATTACTCCTTTGTAAACACAACATAGCCCTCCTTGCTAATAAGTACCATTTTTTTAATCAAAGGACATTTCTAATTTTCAATAAACTTTTCCAGAATAGGAAAAGAGAAACATTTTTCAATTCACCCTGTTATGTCTAGAATATACTTGATTCCAAAATTAGATAAAGGAAGTTACATAAAAGAGAAATTATAGGCCAGTTTTTCTCATGAACATAGATGTAAAAATCTTAAGCAAAATATTAGCTAACCAAATCCAGCCATGTAGAAAATAGATAATATATCATGACCAAATTGGGCTTATTCCAAGAAAGACAAGGGTGATTTAACACTGAAAAAATAAGTAACTATCAAGATCATATTAGTGGATTAAAGGAGAAATACCATATAATCACCAAAATAGATGTAGGAAAGTTATTCAGTGAAATTAAACACTTATTCATGGTTTTAAAAAACTCACAAATTTAACAGCTACTAAAAATTAATAGTGCTCGTTAATTAACAAAACAGTGGATAACTCCAGAGCAGCCACCTGCCTATGGGAACTTAATAGATGCAAAGACACCATTACTGACCACTGGAGAAGGCATTCTGTTTCCCATTAATGGTACTGAGATACCATAATAGCCATATGGAAGAAAAAAAATCAGATGCATACCTGTCTCACACAATAAACAAAATACGTTCCAAGTAGATTAAAGACAAAAGCAAAAGGTTAAATTAAACATTTAATTTAAAAGTGGG